TCTTGTAATCAATCCAAGCTACATTCAAGTTGGTCTTCCTTCTCTTACAGTTTTCCAAAATCGTCATCTTGTTGTTGTTATTATCCCACCTTTTTTATATAAAACTCAAGACAGCAAACATATTTAATACTCCTGCTTCCTATTTCCTCACAAAAAGAACTTTGTGAGGTGGGTTAGGCTGAGACAGAGTAATTGGCCCAAAGTCACCCAACCAGCTTTCATGCCTAAAGGAGGCCTAGAACTCACAGTCTCCTGGTTTCTAGGCCAGCACCTTAACCATTATACCAAACTGGCTCTCTATTACTGATCAATAAGTTATTGATTGATGGAGGTCAGCAACTAATTATTGTCTTATAGTTTTTAAAATGCTTTATAATGTACTTTTCCATCCCCCTCTCAAATTTTTAATTTATTTATTTTTCAAATTTATATAGCCGTCCATCTTACAAAACAAGTGACTCTGGGGAGCGTACAGCAAAGTTAAAAACAATAATTAATAAATAACGATTATTATTATTATTATTATTATTATTATTATTATTATTATTATTTTAAAAATGTTAGAAACTATAAAATACAGCTAAAAAGAAATAATGGACAAAGGGATGTTAATAATAACGGAGCCACCTCACTAGTTCACCAGTTCCCTGGGTTCCCCAGAGCTGATGGCACAACAAGGTCTTGAGGGACCTTCAGAAAATCAAGAGTGCTGGTGCCAACCTCACCTCAGGGGGGAGGATATTACACAACATGGGTGCCACAGCCGAGAAGGCCTGCTGCCCAGGGCCCACCAAATGTAATTCCCTAAATGATGGAACTCAGAGCATGCCCTCTCTATTAGATCTGGTGGGATGGGCAGATGTGGTTGGCGAAAGGCGGTCCCTGAAATAACCCAATCCCATGCCACGTAGGGCTTTAAAGGTCAAAACCAGCACCTTTAACTGGACCTGGAAACAGACTGGTAACCAATGCAGCTTGCGGAGCAGAGGTGCAATGTGTGTTTTATGAGAAACACACACAACTGCCCACACTGCACCAGGTGAAGTTTTGGATACTCTTCAAGGGCAGCCCCATGTAGAGTGCATTACAATAATCCAACTGGGAGGTGCCTAGGGTATGAGTGTCCATGAGTAAGGCCCCTCAATCTAAGAATGGGTCCAACTGGCACACAATACAAAGTTGTGTGAAGGCCCTCCTAGCCACGACTGCCACTTGCTTATCAAGCAGGAGTCATGAGTCCAGGAGGACCCCCAGATTGTGCACAGGGTCTGTTTGGAGCAGTGTAAACCCATCCAGCACCAAAGATGGCACAGTCCCAGAACCGGAAGACCCCAAAACTCAAAGCCACTCAGTCTTGCCAGGGTTCAGTTGAAGCCTGTTGTTCCCCATCCAGACCCTCACAGCATCCAGACACTGGGATAAGACATCCACAGCTTTGCTTAATTTGCCAGGGGCAGAGATGTATGATTGAGTATCATCAGCACTTTGATGATATCTCACCCCATGGTGATGGATGAGCCCACCCAGCGGTCTCATGTAGATGCTATTCTGAAACAGGACACTAGATGACTTCTCAATCTCAGAACCCGCTGCCCCAACATTAGCTTTGGGGGGGGGGGGGGGGGACATTTAAAACAATATCCTGTAAAATATGCTAGTTTAAAACACTTAAATTTTCCCAAAGATACATAGTAATTTAGACATAGTAATTTAGATATCAGTTCCTTCCTGATATCTGGTCCTAGTTTCTGGTTAAGCCAAGTTTTTTTTCTCTGTTTAAAGTAAAATTTTCAAAGGAGTTTGCCTGCCTGACAAATAACTATAATTCTTGCGGATTAAATAACTCTACTATGATATAAAAATAGTATTTTTATATATATGACCATTTTATTTCCAGCACCTTACTATAAACATTTGTATGACAAGCTGAAAATAATACATTTAAACAGATCAGCTTTGTTTAAAACAAGGCTTATTCACACCTTATGAAATGTAGAAAAGCTATACAACATGTCAAGAAAAAAAATTCTGGGGAAAAGTTATTCAGCATAACCTTTACTACAGAAAAAATGCTAATTCAAATACTGCTATATCATAGGATTTATTTAAAGTTTATTTACTTGTCTTGTGTATGTGAGTTTATGTGTGTGCACGCAAACAGTTATTTTTAGGCTATCCTGAGTGAAAATACTTAAACATTACAATTAATAAAAATCTTAGGTTACCAAAAAAAAAAAACCCTTTGCCCTTATAAATCACTTTGTCAAGGATGAAATGGATTGAGGATATGAAAGGTTTGGAGGAGACTGAACCCCCTCACCCCTATCTTTATATTCCCTTTAGCAATGGAAAGCCAGCATTTTGTTTCTATTTTAATATTGATATTGTATCATTAAGGTTTCTCTTCCTAAGTATAAAACACTTAGTGAGATTCTCTTTTCCCTTTTCATCTTGCTTCCTCAGAATGTAAACCAAGTTCTATTATGTTTTTTTTTAAAGAAATGAAAACACATGCTATGAATTTAGAAACTGTCAAACTCTCACAGGAAACAAAAGTGGAAATAAAAGAAAGTACAATACTCAAAGAATGATAATAATTGACCATACAAACAGAAGAGCCAGTAAATTCCTGGCACTCAAATAAAGGAGTCATCAACAAATCAATGGAACTAGACATGATCAACCAGCTGGCCAAGGGCCTGATCCAAATCATACACAACAGAGTAATGAGGTAGATCAGTCAGAAAGAGCTAACACCATTCCCAACCACCAATCAATTGATACTTCCTTATAGACGTCCCATCACCAACCAATACACAGAATTCAAATTCCACAAAGACTATAAATATTGCAATCCCCACTTCTGGACTATTATGCTGAGGAAGCCTCACTGGAACTCAAGGTGAAACATCTGCAAAAACCATGACCAATAATGATCTCTCTAAAGTCAGAGAACTCCAATTAAAAATATCCAATACTCAAAATAGTAACTTTGCAAGGGAACCTTACCGTACCCCATTATTCTTTAATCAAAAAGGTAGAGCAAGGTAATTTTCAATGACAAGGACAAGTAAATACAGCTTAGCAACTGTGCTACATTTTGAATTGACCAATAACATAGCAATATGCAGAATGGGAGTACTGACTCCAGTTTTCTCTGGTCTGCTCATGTAGGAGTTTGTGAAACATCACAATAATCTGTATCACAAAGTCATGTTTCAATTACCCACTTGCTAAGAGTAGCATGGTAGTGTCATACAGGCCTAAAGAAGTTTCCAGAGCCATACAGAGCCTTTAATAAGTGCAACCAGAGATCACCCATTTCATAACTGTGATAGTAACTTATCAGATCATCCAGCACAGCCTCAGCAATGGAATATAACAAATACACATTAACATGAAACAATCCACAGTAAAAGTTTTTGAATATTTTTATGTTATTAAAATACTTATGAGTCATGTACCTTGCTTGGCAACTCAGAAGTAGCATCTCTTTATTATTAATTAAAATTTGTAATAGGACCAAAAAAGCTTTTGCTCGAATTGCAGTAGAAGGACTTTCAAGTAGTCGAATAATTGTAGTTACAAGGTCCTGGGCAAAAAAAGTACAAACAGTGATTCAGTGGGAAATACATATGTATAGATGTATATGCGTACAGACAAGGCACCAAATACAATATAATGGTCAAGGTATTGGAGCTGGACTGGGGAAAAGCTTACAGATAGTCCTGAACTTATGACAATTGGGAATGGAATTTCCATTGCTAAGCAATGTGGTCGTAAAGCGCGATCATATTGCTCAGCAACAGTAATCCCTGCAGTCTCAGTTGCCACCGTTAACTGAATCACAGTGCTTGTTAGGCAAAGCAACTTCCTGCCAGTTTTCCACAACCAAAGTCAGCAGGGAAGCTGGCAGGAAATTGCAAGTCCCAGGCTGGCAGGCAGGTAAATGGCTGCTGCCAGTGAGGGAGGGAGGGAGGGAGGAGCTGCATAGAGGTGTGGGGAAGGTGCACAAAGGGAGTGAGGAGGCATCGTGCGGGTCAGAAAGGGTGCACAGGGGAGTGTGAGGTACTGTGCAGGTGGAGGTGGGTGCGTGGGGTTGCAGAAGTGCATGAGAGGTGCTCCGTGGGTCAGGGAGGGTGCACAGGGGTGCAGTGTGAGTCAGGAAAGGTTCGTGGGGGTGTGTGAGAGGTGCCGCGTGGGTCGGGGAGGGTGCACAAGGTTGTGTGAGTGGCCAGCGCAAGCACTGAGGAACTGGGGAGGGTGCACAGGTAGGGGAGACTTACCCCAGCGACTTGCAACCTTCCCTGCCAGCTTCTTCATTGACTTTCTGGGAGAGCCGGCAGGGAAGGTTGCAAATGGTGATCACGTGGTGCTCGGCAACCGGTCATAAGTGTGAACAGGTTGCCAAGCACCCAAATTGTGATCATGTGACCACGGGGGCGCTGCAATGGCTGTAACTTCGGGGACTGGTCGTAAGTCCCTTTGTTCAGCACCATCGTAATTTCAAACAGTTGCTGAACAAATGGTCGTACGTCAAGGACTACCTGTATTGGTTAATTTTGTGCCAGTCATTCTGTCATCTTCTCCCAATGTACTTCACAAGTGGCTTTTGAGGGGATCAAATGAGGGGAGATTCCTATATATGCCACCTTGACCTCCCCCTGAAGGGCGGAATGGAAACCTCCACAAGATCCAGAGTTTTCATCAAAATAAGCTCCATCCTTTTGGCAACATGAGCCACGTACAAAAGGGGCAGATCTTGTGACACAACACTACTTTTATCATTTACTTCCCCTTGGCCCCCCATTTGGATACCTCAGCAATAAATAAATTAGTTAATCAACAGCATATTTACACAGATATTTTAGGAGAGATGTAGCAAATTTATGGAGCTATGCAAGTCTGCTGTACATTGCAGAAATGCCTCAATGCATCTTTAGGATGCGAGAAAATGCAATTTCTCTGAGCTGTTTCCTGTATTGTAACAAACTGAGAATGTAGAGCATCCCCAGGAAGATCTAATTCATTAAAAACATGAAAAGTGATTATACATACATACATACATACATACATACAGAGAGAGAGAGAGAGATTTATTAAAGAATGGATTACAAATTACTTAAATTAATGAGAGACAGAGTTGAGAGCAAAATCGTACATTTGTGATTCATTTTATTACCAAAAATACAATCAGAAAAATATGTAGTCATATGAAATTATATCAATTATGCTAATTCACTGTCAATCAAATCAAATCTTTATTAGTCATAGACCACCATAAATTCACTATGTGAAATTTTATACAAATTATAATGTACTTGAGCTCTAGTATTTATTTTGAAATTAATTTAAATGATACATTTCTACACAGAATAATAATATAAATTAATAAATAATTCTTCCCAATTTATTCCTAATTCCCATGTTATTATTATATATATTTAAGTGCAACATGTGCATCATAATTAATGATGATGAGATTATTATAGGAAAGCAAACAAAGGTCTTTACCACAACCTAATTAAATTAATTAAATTACAGGAATGACAATTATTTCCCTGCACCTTTATCTTTACTCTTTGTTTGGTTAAAAAGAAATGTCCAGTTTACTGAAAATATTATTTCTGAACAAGGTATTTCTAAATTTCACTTATAAATTAGCCCATAGTTTTCTAAATAGCATAACTGAAGTGCAGCTTTAAATTCAATCAGTAACTTTTTTTTCTTTTATGTTCCTAGGAAACTCTATGTCAAAGTAGTTGTCCTTATTATTTTTTCTCAAGGTATTTCTAAATTTCAGTTATAAATTAGCCTATGGTTTTCTAAAGATAGCATAATTGAAGTGCGGCTTTAGATTCAATCAGTAACTTTTTTTTCTTTTAAGTTCCTAGGAAAGACTATGTCAAAGTAGTTGTCCTTGGTATTTTTTTTACCCTAGGGCCATTATTAATTGATAGCCATATTTCAGCTCATACAATTTATTGAATTTTAGCAGCAGCTCATTCAATTAACCCTATCTCTTGGGATAAGCCAAAAAAGCCATGTCAAATTTTACTTCTCGTTATTTTATCTTCAGCTTATTTTAGTTACCATTTCCTCTTTTAGTGATGTTCAGGTATATGCTAACATAGCCAAAATGGCATCACCTAATCATCAGAAGGAGATATGAACAGACTCTGTAGACCTACATATTTAAATAAAAAATAAAGCTTTAAAGAAACCCATAACAGAGAAAAACAGATTACATACTCATGATAAAAGGGAAAGGCAGAGAAATATGAACAAATCTAACAAGGCCATTAATTGAGTTTCAGTTGGAGACATAACCATAGTCTATTCCTAGAGAACTGCCTGCAGTAAGCTAAGATTTAGTTAAAATCGTACAATGTGCATTGTGACATTAATAAACAAACTACTCCTTTTGCACCTATGTTGTGACACAAGTACAAAAGAAGCAGGGTTTACATCATGACACACATTTCATCATTTGCCCCCTTTACTGTTCCATCCTCTAAGCACCTATGTTTCTCAAGACTGACTTTCAACCTTGTACTGGAACTCAGTGAAACTTCTGAAGGAAAGCACTGGATTATGATGGCAGTTCCACAGAAGAGTGCACTTGCCCAAAGCCAAAGGAATAATGAAACTTATATGCAGCTAAGTGGAAACAATGAATAAAAAATGGACTCAACAGAAACCACAACCTTAACTATACAATGACTGTGATATGGATAGAAGACAATACTGTCGAGTTTCTCAAACTTGGAAAGAAACTGGTGGAGGATGAAGAGAAATATGGAGGAAAGAAGAGAAAACACCAGAATGAATAAAACTAGATTTGAAAGCATAATTAAATGAAATCACATGTAAAAACAGGATGGGAACAGAGAGTAGAGAAATGAGCAACTGAAAAGTAAGGAGGCGAAACGTTAGTTTGATGTTTCAAAGTTTAAAACCACTACTAAAATAAGTTCATATAAATACTTCTTTCACGATATAGAGGAGCAGATTTAAATCAAACCTTTTCTTGAGTCAGCCTCTGCAAATGGATCCCACATGACAACAAAGCAGAGAACATTGTCAGCATGTACTGTTGAACTCTGCAAATTCCAGTTGCCACTGAATGTATCACAGCTGTTAATCCCACCTTCTCAATTACACTCTGGAAAACACTTGGTGAGTGCCGGGTAATTTTACATAATGCCTGTGTAAAACAAACTCTGTTTGAATAACTTTAATAAATGTAAATACAAAGTAGTTTCAAGACTCTCAAAATAGTTTACCACAGTTAAAAACTTAATGAAATAATTTCACTCTTGGCCACTAGCTTTTTGAGGGAAAGTATAAGATTGTGACATTCATTATTTATTTTTAAAAAGTCTATCTTGCTTTCCACCAATGAATCCCACTAAAGTGGACATATAAAATAAATGAAATCATTATTTTTATTATATTTTAACTCCAATAGGAGAGAATACCTGTAGTTGAACTGTGGAGTTCTTGGCGCTCTCTGAGCTTGGTTGTTTGCTTGCAAACATTTCATTACCCAACTAGGTAACATCATCAATCGCGAATCACATTGATGATGTTACTTAGTTGGGTAATGAAACATCTGCAAGCAAACAACCAAGTTCAAAGAGCACCAAGAACTTTATATTTTAAAGTTAAATCTTAAAATGATTTCTTTAAAGTGTGAAACACTGTTCTCTGAGCAGCATGAAGGATATTCCATAACTAGGAGGGCACCTCCACATAGATTAATTTTTGGAAACCATATCACAAAATTAAATTAACTAACAGAAGCTGTTTGCATTAAACTGATAGGAAAATGAGCATACGTTTTCTTTTATCCACAAGTTTTTTTTACAGAATTTTAAGAAAACACTAACATTGCACATACACATCTGATGGAAAGTATTAGGCTATAAAATGCTATATGTGCTGGTAATACTAAATAAATCATTTTTAAAATATATTTCTATTACAGTAAAACCTCAATTAAATGAACCATTTGAAGCAAGGTGTACTATTAAATCTAAATGACTTTTAAATCCAAATTTATGTGATGTGATTTACATATTTGCCCCATTTACATATTTGTATAATTACATAATGAAACAAATGATGTAGATTGACGCAAATGATATAAAAGTGTCAATTACAAAACTACACCAATAATATACATTATGTTCATTGTTGGCACTGATTTAGAAACAACAGACATTGTCCATTATTTGGGGATGAATTCTAACTTAAAATTACGTCCATTGCATCCTAGGTCTGCTGGAGAATTGAGCTTTTACTGCAAATCTTAGGATTTTAAAAAAATGTCATGAAAATTATGAACTGGGTAAGCAAAAACAAAAACACTTACTGAGATAGCAGTTATTCTCAAAGAATCTATGGTGGAGTGCATAAAAAGATACCACAACACAAGTCCAATTTCTCCAGTAATAAATCCTTGAGCATGAGAAGAGAAAGTGGAGCATACATTTTCAACAATTTTTGCTGCTATATGATTTATAACACGCTCTTCCTAGAAAAGGAAAAAATGATTATCATTATGAGGGAAAAACAAGCAACATCAAAACAACTATTCAAAGACACAAGAAAGTTACAGGTGTGGAAAATCCCCAGAACATATGATTAATTATGTTATTTCTACCGCACCACAAGGGCAGATTCAAATGGTGTTGCTTTATATTCCCATGCCCTAAAATAGCTTCTGCTTATCAGCAATCAAATAATATTAGGATTAGGAACACACTCATGTGTTCTTTACTCCAGCCTTTTTCTATCTTTTGGTTAGCATATAGCATTTGCAAATACTGTATGGAAAATATAATAAACCAGAACATAAACAGAACTTACTTTTTCTCCCCCTTACAACAAAGATGAGAGCTGAAAATAAATAGATGAATCCCTTCTCCAAGAGATTTCATTAAAGTCCTTTTCGTTAGATGATTTAAAGCGGAGATACCAGATGCCATTTTTTACAGAAGTACTTATGAATTACAATCCTGTATGCCGATTGATATTTTAATTGATAGCAAAGTTTGACTATCATTTTCTTATTCGACATAGTTCATTTCTACTTTAATATTTAAGATTATTCCCAATAATCTTATGCATTCTATTCGTCTCCACTTCATACAAAAAGAATATAACGAATGAATATAATCCATTGTAGAGCAAAATTATCAGTAGGAAGTAGCAAATCAAATGCAGAGTTTGCTCCTCTTACATCTGTTGCAAAACATTATTTCTACAAATAGAGGTTAAATACCTATATTCAGTGAAAATTATCTGCATTCGTTTTACCTTAACACATCTTTTGAATATCAGGTTCATGTTGTTCACAGTAAAAACAAAACTATTCAGACTAAATCAAAATGGAATAATTAGTATTAATATTACACAATATAATACGTATCATTTGTAAAAACTCTTGTTTCTGTAAAGAAATTTAGACTATGCTTGTGTCTGTGTGGTGTACTCATATCACATACATGAATATAGATATTATAGTAACTAGCTGGCTCTTCATTAAGCTTTGGTTAGCATTAAAATTATCCTTGCAACTTCAGCTAACCTTTCAAATATTTTTCAAATATTGGATTTACACACCAAGCTACACCATGATTTGCTTAACCATGATTACTGACTATACTGCAATTTGCCGTATTTGAACATCATGTCAAGCTACAATCCATGCTTTATAAATCACAATAGCTATATTCACATATGCTAATAGTGTATTGAACTAGCTAGAGTGGCTGGGCTCATAGAATCACAGAACTCAAAGATCTGCCCCCCTGCTCAGTGCAGGAGTCCAAATTAAAGTGCCCCAACAGATGGCTATCTAGGTAATGCCTAAACATAACATGCAAAGGGTGGCCCTCTGCTTTTCTGGGTAATTGGCTTCACTGTTAAATATGCCTTCCTGCAATTTTAATTTATTATTTTATGTCTGGCATTCTAAAATGACAAGATAACAAGTCTTGACCTTTTTCTGTACAGCGTTCTTTCAGTCTTCTCTTCTGAAGGCTAAATATTCCCAATTTCTTTAGTATCTCTTCACATCTAACCCCATGATCACCCTTACTGCTCTTCTCTCAACCTATTCCATTTTTGTCTGAATCCTTGAAGTGTGCTAGCACAATATATAAGATTGGGTCTAACCAATGCAGAATACAGCAGCATTACTTCTGCAATTTGGAAACCAAACTTCTATTGATGCAGCCTAAAACTGCACTGCATATTCAGTATGAATTCAGCTACTATTACCTTTTTACAACTCTATAACCAAGCCAGGTATTTCTCATCCTATATATGTGCTTGATTCCTTTTGTCTCTTAAATTTCATTCTTTCATTTCAAGCCCTTCTCTCTATCTCTATCTTCATTTGTTTAGCAATATTTATGGACCTACCCAATCATACAGACTCTAGGCAATGTACAAGATGTACAATGTACAAGAAAGAAACAATTAAAATGAACATAGAATTACATAAGAAAGTAAAATGGCTGCTCAAAATCTTCATCCTGAACCAAAGTATTAATTATCATATCCAATTTTGTGTCATCTACGTATTTTGTAACAACACAGTGAAAATTCCATATGTATCTGACAGAAAGAAGACTCTGATTTAAGGTGATCCCCTGCCCACAAGAAAGAGAAAAAATTATAAACATTGTCAACTAAGAGCTTCTAATCATAGCAGAATTGAATCCAAGAGCTTTCTAATCCTTTCCCAATAAATGTGTACAAGTGACAAACTAGCATATGTATGTGTATGTATGATTTTACTGGCAAAAGCTGCCCTCTGAAAAAAGGCTGCACCCAGAGTAGCTACTGGTTAAAATGAGAGTAAGATAAAGTTTCTTTTATATAATTAATTGATGCCCCCATCTGAATATATCAAATATTCTCACATACAAATCCCTTATATACACACATACGCAAAAATGCATATGCCCACCGCTACACATTCCCTGCCTCTAGCAGAAATAATAAAAAGAGAAGGCAAAAGCTATACATGTGAACTAAATAAATAAATAAAATACAAACAGGATGGAGATCAGGTAAAGATTAGGGGCATCTGCACTGAGAAGGTGAGAGAAAGGGTGAAATAAAACTAGAGGCGGTGAACAAGGAGAAAAGAAGAAGACATCATACCAAATTAAAAATTCACCAGGCGAGCAGTCCTTCCCAAGTTGCTGGTGACAGCTAATTTTCAAAGGTACCTATATAAGTGCATTCAATAATGTCTCATAATGTCTGTAGATTTCCACAGCCATTTGTTCCTCTGCCAATTTTTCACAGCTTCTCAGTGAATGTAAAATGTCCCTCTCCCCTTTTCACAGACATTATTTGATTAAAAAAACAACTCTTGTCTTCCTACTGAGTGAACATAATAGGTGGCACAGGTGTCTGTAATTCCACTTCTATTTCAGATAATAGTGCTTCCTGCATACATCAAATAAAATTACAAAAATATTGACTATAGAATAATTTGATAATTCAAAGGTTAACAATGCGAATCTTAGTTTAAAAACAGTAATTCAAATTATTTATTTAGGCACAATGCTTCAAAATCAGCATAAGTTAAAAAATACAAAACTCAAGCAATGAAAAGCATTAATTATGACTATGCAGAATATACCCTTTAACATTTTTGTAAAATGTGTGTATGGCAGCCAACAATGAGATGAAGCATGCTCTAGGACAGTTAACTGTAACATATTGGCTGCAAAACGGTCATGGATTGTCACAGTGTTCTAGAAACTCAATGAGCCTGTCAAGCTAATTCAATTTGCTGAAATCTGAGATGGACTTGCTTGAGCCCCTCTGAGGTCTATTATCAAAGAGTATGTAAGCAGAAAGATTGTGCCATTTACTGCTTAGTTAGTTCTCTGGAAAGGAAGTTTGAATAAACTAATATTTGGTTGTCCATACTGAAGCACTCCACTTGTCATATTATGATCATATTATTTATACTAGTTGACAAAAGTGTATCCATAAAATATAATTATCACCTTCACCAAACCTTCAATGTGTCCCCAGGACAAACTATTTTCAAATAGAGATGGATTAGAAAAATACAATTATAGCAATAAATGGTGTTTTATTCTAAAATCTATGTCATATTAAATAACAGCAGGTTAAACAGAAGTTGGTATTAAACAATTACATAAAATAAAAGAGAATAATTTCTTAAATAATTATCTACTGTCATTTAGATAATAAATTAAAATACTAAAGGAAATGCTTTAAACTATTCTTCTTTTCATATCTAGCACCAGCCCACATTATTGTTGTTGTCCAGTCATTCTGTCACTTCCACCTCTTTATGGCCCAGTGGATATCATTTTGCCCAAACTGTCTGTCAAAAATAGCTTATTTGATATCTTAGAAGCTCATGCTTGTATCATCATCATCATCATATGATAATATCTAGCCACAAGGTCTTCTGTCAGCTTCTTCAACTACCTTCAATTTTTCCAGGCATCAGGATCTTCCCCAGTGACTCTTGCCTTAGTACTATGTGTCTAAAATACTGAAGCTTCAGCTTCATTACTAGTGATTATGAGAGCTTTACATCATCAAATACTGAATGATTTGTTCTTACTGTAGGCCATGGTATTCTCAACAATACTTTCCACCACCACAATTAAGAGGTATATTTAAAAAAAAAAAATCAACTTTTCTAGTAGTGCAGTATTACCTGAGACAGAATCTTAGGATTTTTTATTGAGCAAAAGACCTGCTTTTGCACTCACTTCTTTCATCTTCAATAAAAAATGTCTTATGTCTTCCTCACTTCCAGCTATCAAAGTAGTCTCACTAGCATATTTGAGGTTGTTGTTTCACTTGACTGTTGTAATTCCAAATTCTATTTCTTCTAATGCAGCAATATCATGATATATTTTGCAGGTAAGTTAATTACAATGACAGAAAACAAGCTTGGTGCATTCTTTTCCATATTCTGAACCTTTTAGTTGCTTCATATTCTGCTTTAACTATTGCTTCCTGGCCATGATACAAATTCTTCAAAAGACAAATGAGGCAGCCTTGTACAGCCATGTTATTTACAGCTATCCACAACTGGTTGTGGTCAAAAGCTTTTGTATAATCAATAAAACATACTGAATGGTAGAAAAATGGCTCCTTATCACTGCCTCTATGAATTGAATAACCTGCAAGAGAAAGATTAACCTGGAGGCCAAGGCACTATGATGTAGCAGAAAGTCTTGACCTATGTAGTGAGATAGCCTAGGCTATGAATATACAATTGGAAGCCAGTCATCTAGATAATGGAACAGTGATACTTCGCAGGTGGTAAAACACAACAAAAGAAATTGTACAAACATCTGGAACATGGAGAAGTCAAAACAGTAAAACACAAATTTGGTAAACAGTTCCATCTACTGTTTAACAAAGAGGAGCAATGCTGGAGTATTACTGATATGTGAAAGTTTGCATTCCGGGAATTTGCTCCTGTAACATATTGGCACTTGAGAAACGGGCCACTCCAAGTCATAAGCCAAAATCAGATGACTGCATTAGAAAGACAAGGTATAATAACAAATGGCTCTGAGGTATTTACATGAAATGACAAAGTCTTAAAAAAATAAGAGAAAACAAAAAGGAAAATAATAACAAATTTTGATAAAACAGAAGAATTATCAACTCAAGGCTGAAAGGGCTAATACTGTGGTGGTTGAAAATAACCTGAATGGGAGCCAGAGACTCTAGAGAGATGCAGTGATGCTGACTCCGGTATTAGAGTGAAGGTAGTCCACTGCTTCTTTGTTCTTTCTTTGGATTTTGTTGCATTCTGGAGAAAATTGTTCTGTATTTTTTATTCTTTACTTTGAATAAAATATAGTATTTGAATTTTCAAAATTATTATTTCAAATATAATAGAGTGGGAGGCACCATGGGTGACCAAAAAATAGTAAAGTACTTATTTCTACTTTTTCTTTTGGTGATTTTTAAAACCATTTTCCACTGCTCTAGAATCTAATCCCCATTGGTTTAATATCCTGATATTTGTGATTTTGTTATCCATGGTTGAGGTCCACCTGAAAAGGTTTATTGATGAAAAGATACAAACAAGAGAAAACGTGAAAGTAGTGAAGTAGGATGATTTATACAAGGCAGATTTGTCTAGCCAGATAAGGTTTAGAATTCCTTCTTCGATGGTCTTATTCAATGAGTCAGCCATGAAGACAAAACAAAGAACATTCAGAAATAAAGAACATTTCTCCAAGTATAATTCTATTTGGAATGGGTGACTTCAGTTGACACCTAATATGCCTGAAAATATTATTTCTGAACTCTTGTTGAAAATATTAACATTACTACTCCATATGTCTCACATTTTCTTTGGCCATACAATAGAAAATTATGGCTACATTTTACTCCTATTTTTGATATCATTAACAATTAACGATTAAATTCTTCTCAATGATATTTAAGACAAGCCCATTCTTCCCAGTTCAACAATATCAATACAGTATCCAAATGAAAAAAATCTGAAGGAAAAAGATGTTTCCTTGATATATTTTTCTCTACTCATAAAAAGCTTTATCAGCATTTTACGAACAAGAAAATTCTTATGCCTTGAACTTTAAACTTTAAAGTTATCCCTAAATTAAATATATGAAGCAGCAAACTAAGATTAGTATTTGCTTTTTTGGGCATCACTGATATAGCATTTTTCAAGAAAAGACATCACGTAAAAGGCATATCAACATATCACCTACAAAACTCAGAAACCTACAAATGCATAATGCAAAAGGATTGTTAATTTGTAAAATATTCATTAATAAAATGAATTTAATTAATTTATTTCTATAACTTGAAAAAATGTTAACTAAGCTATTTTGTTTTCAAAATCAAATGCTAACTTATAAATGATGAGCATACAAAAAAAAAGCATTTTTAAAAATATTTTATTCTTCTGTGGATGATGGTTTTATGATGATTTAAATTCAGAAGCAATCCCTCATTAACAAAGTTCTTCACAGCTCCAGGCTACAATCCTCACACAATGCCTAAAGAATTATTACAGTTGAGAAATTGAGAACAACAAAAAAACTTACTCCTTCCCGAAGGCACCTCATTAGCACAGTGTAAGTAACAGAAGGAAGGACCCAGCACTCTCCACACTGCTCTTTTTTTCCTTCCTGTTAATGAAGTGCAAAGACCAGAAATGGAATTTTAAAAGCAAAATTATGTTTTCCCTTTATTGTAAAAATTATAATTTTTTAAAAAATGCAAGTTCATGTTTTAAAATTATATCTTATATTATGGGAGTCACCCAAAACAAATTGTTTAGGTTTTTTTAACACGTAATTGTCACAAATTAGCAACCATTCTAAACCATTTCTTCTCATATGGTTCTGTTTTCTGATCTGGTTGTCTGCATGAATGATATGAGTGTGTACACTTATATACATACATATCCATTATGTTATTCCCTTTCAGGGTAAACAAAATTATGCAGAGTACAGAAGAAAAGATATAATAACCCAAAGAAATCAGACATAAGAAAATATAGCTAAACTTAATTTACACTAGCACAATACCTGTCTAACTTTGTGAACCATCCTTTCTTTCACCATATCCAGACACTATTTAATACCTTGCCTTTTAATCTTTAAATCTTACCTCTCTCTTGTTGAGGACCTCATCAGTTCTAATCAACCACAACTACCTAACCATTCCTTTCACTCTTGACCTTTCACTTGTCCATCATATATTTGTTATGTGATTTAATGCTCACTCATTCTCTCCGTATGACCAATCCACCTTAGCATACTCTTTTCAAAGTTGTCATTGACCAGTATGTATGTCTTTACCTTGGTGTTTGAAACATTAATTTTTAAGTCATATTCCTTCCTGCATAATAAAATTCATTTAATATTTGGTGCAGATCATCTGAGTTGTTAGCATTGTCTGTATACAAAAGTAACATATTTCACATCCTTGACCAACTTTACATATTTATCCATAGATGCACTGAACAACCAAGAGGACATCTCATATATTTGATTACTCCCTAATCAAATCATACTGAGCATTCCATTTATTCTCACAAGATGTATTTCATGGAATGTACTTCAGATGTAGATATATCTTGTGATGAGAGGCGAACTTGTTCAAAAATGTAATGTAATTTAAGTGCAGTTATCCTGCACTGATATTGTTGCTTCATTTTTATTCAGGTTTAATGCCCTCACTTAATGAGCTTAGGAACTGACTAGAAAACTAATATGGCAAAATTTAAAACTTCTAGAAGAAACAATTAATGAACATGTTTCTAGGGAAACAGAAAACACTTTTTTAGGTTTTACTTCAATATGAAACTATGTTAAAGAGAAATAATTTATATTACCAATATCAAAAAAGCATGGAATTGTACTGATGTCAATTTTACTGAAGATATAATAGGATTCCCACCTGAATGTGAATGAACAGCAGTTTCTAGATTATTATTATTATAAATACAGACATACAGACATACATACCAACCCTATAGCTGGACATAAATTGCCAGTTACAGAAGGCTTATTATGTGACTAGAATGTAATAGCTTTATGAAGAAGGATTTCTTTCAGTTACAATAATCAAGTTTTTAAACAAATCTGAAGTAACAGAATTTATGATATCCTGTCTAACATTTATATCTACTGTAATGGAACTTATCTGATGCTGAAAATTATCAAGGATGAATTCCATTATGCTCCTTAATTCCACAGTTATTGTCCATAGATCATTTTAAACATTATCTTTAGGCATTGCTTCCCCCTCTCAAAAAACCCCTATGTCCACAAGGTAATTCCTTCCTTCTCCAATCTCCCCCCACCCCACTCATCACAAGATATATCCTTGATAAATCATACTCTCCATTTTCCTTCTCCTCAGATTTCACCTATAGACTTACCCTAAGCACAAAATTCTTTTTTCAGCATTTAGGGAATGTTTCATTCGACCAGATCAGAAGCTGTAGTACTATAATTTACTGTGGATCCCAAATCCAAAATGAAATTCAAAGAACTGAAACACTGTGCTTCCCTTCATTATATAAAAGCCATAAATAGCTGAAACAATAAACACCAACACTATTTTTATAAAAATAACATTTTCAAAGGGACTTAGGTTTGTCTAATTTCAGGAAAAAATGGTGCAGGAACAATATTTTAGATACTGATTTTAAAAAGAATCTTTGATTTTGATGAGAATTATATTCATGGGCACACTGGACTCTTCTGAGGTGATAAACCTGCAAAGTTTTAGAAAGAGAGGCGCAAAGCTTTTTATGCACAAAGAAGCTCATCTTATTTGAAAATACTACACACTGTCTAGCAATAGGAAAACTATAGACATTATAGAAACATGCCTGGCTAAGAAATCTATTAAATTGTATATAATAGGTACAATAGTTTGTATATTGGTCTGGGATGGGGAGATAATCTAACATTCAGCATTCCTTGCAAAAGCACTGTGATTGGAAATTCTGAGATTGGAAATTAGATCTGTTAGAAGATGGAAAGATTCGGCATTATCCACAATGGAGGAATGATTGGTGAAGATGATGGAACTTGCTGAGATGGCTAAATTATCTTCTTTGATCACAGAAAAAACAATATCTATGTTTATTGCTGACTGGAAACCCCTTATAGACGTTTTGCATAAAATAGAAAAAAATTAACTTATGATTTATGGTTTTGATGATTAGATAGGATAATTAGAGAAAGAAGAGAATCATGTTGTAATCATAGAATAAGAGGTAAATTTACAATTGTACTTATAACTGCTGTAAAGAAGATCAGAAGCCACTTCTTTATATCTTCTTTCTTTCTTTTCTAGTTTTCTTTTACTTTTTTCCCCTTTCTGCATTTTTAGCTTTCTCCTTGATTTATTTCCTTTCCTTTTCTTATTTTATATTATTTTGTATTAGTTAGTTGTATTATTTTTCTCTTCCTTTTTAAAAAATAAAAATTTATATATATATAAAAAGAAATTAGATCTGTTAGTAGCTTAATTCTTCTCCCATCTCATATCTTATTTCCTTCCCTGGTGTTTTCTGTATATGGAAAAGCAAACCCAATACTTTGATTTTCTGCATCCCTTCAAAGTGCTTAAGAGAATTTGCAAGGTCCTCAGTTTGCTTTTGGTTGCTTTGAAGAAAACTCTGCTTTCTTTTATGGAGCATGGAACTGAATAGGAAAACAATCCCATCCAGTTCAGGATTTGGCCAAAGCTAATTAATATCTTACTTCAAACTTCTCTCTGATACAGTTCACATTATTTCCTCTTTTCATTTGTATTTTCTACTCATTTAAGAAAAATGTTAAGAAAAGTTTCCTTCCTCTTCATTTTTGGGTTAGCTATATAAGAGAATGCTAGCAAACTATATTATTCTATAATTTTGTTCCATATACCAAATAATAAAGGCTGAAGCTGGGAGGGAGTGGGAGATAGAAGTGCTCTAGCCAGACAGAACTGTTGAATAAATATTGAGCAGCTGTCTTCCTAACTCAAGACTGAGAAAAGAATAATCAAAAGTCCACCGACTCAAGAATGTGGGAGAATCCTCTCCACTCTCCATTCTCCAACCTGACCTTTTACAGCTTAAAACTATACATAAACCTCAAGGGTTGTTTATTTATTTGTTTATTATGCTTGCATGTTACCCATTCCCACAGGCTTTGGTGGCTAACAATGACAAAAGATAAAATACCACCCAAACCCCAATAAATATAAATACAAAAATAGGTAGATCCTCAAGATTTTCCTGAAGCCAAGGAAGGCAAATTGAATTTCTACAGGGAGAGAGTTTCAAAGAGTGGGGGTGGCCACCAAGAACATCCATCTCCAGAGCCTCATAAAGTGACAATCCCAGAGACACGTGACCTGGAGAAAGTTGACATTATTTGATTTGGTTGGACAGGCAGATTAATATGAGAGAAGGTGGTATCTCAGATATCCAGATCTGGTGCCATTTCAAAATGAAAACCAGCACCCTGAATCACACCCAGAAGCCAAATGTAACCAACGTAGCTCCTGAAGCAACAGGGTCACCTGAATATATCAAAATACACTTATCACTGCTCAGAATGTTGCATTTTGCACCAGTTGCAGTTTCTGGGTGTTCTTCAAGGGTAACTCCATGTACAGTGTGTTACAGTAGTCCAAGCAGGAGATGACTAGGGCATTAGTGATTGTGAATAGGATGAACTCCTCCAGAGACTTCATATAGATATTAAAAAGAAGACTGCAGAGAAGAGAGACTTCTCAGGCACTCCACAAAATACAGGTCTCTGGGAAGATTTCTTTTCACTCACCACTACCATCAGCAGCCAAACACCTCAGGAAAGAGAACCACCTGCAGTGTCCATATCTATGAGATTAGTTAGCAATGAATTGAAAATCCAGTACATAGCTATTCTCAAGTAAGTTTTATGAATTGAAAATTAATAAGTATATTCTTTTTCTACAGACTATTTATATCTCCGCACCTCCAAAAGAAAATAGTAACATATAATCTAAAATATTTAGATTACCAGAGTTCTTTTTAGATTAGGCAGATTTATTTAAGTTTGGAGAAAGAAATCCATTTATATCTCAGAGCATCAAAATATCTCATACTGAAGTAATTGTTATTTTTCCATGTTCAGTCTGAAATCATAATATTATAAATCTTATAATCTTGGATTTGTTTTTCCCAATTACATAGCAAAATTCTCACATGTATGACTACACCATTTCTTTTTTTGTCTAAGGCCACACATTTTTAACCAAGATGCTTATATTCCAACAAATTTACATTGCCTTTTTTAATATGAATCTCCTGAAGTGAAGACATGTAATATGTGCATTTTCTATTTTTAGCTTCAAAAATATTTTTGTTTTTAAATGGGCTACTCATCCAATTAATATTAATTGAAAATATTTTAATTTGTTTCATGTCAACTATCAAGTTAATTTATTGAGAAACAGCAACTGCTGTTTTGATTTTCTATGTTCTTGATCTTTTTTCCACTGTTCCATTACTGCCAATGACTCAAGCATTTTGTTCACATCACTGAGTATTACTGCTACCATCCATAAAGGCCTCTAGGCAGAATGGAGTAGTCCTCCTATATATGATATTCCTTCCTTGAAGAATAGCTGCAAAAATCTCAGCTCTCTTTTTCAA